AACAGTTGGGAAGATTCGAGCATTTGTTTTGATGGGGATTGAGAAGTTGATAATATTGATGGAGCATGTTTCTCGATTACACCTTTTATAGAATTCCTTAATAATTCATGGACAATATATTCTATATGATCTGGTATGTAAGCAAAAGTAGTATCCACTTGACCATCGACAAGAACCTGTGGCGGTTCAACATCATAAAAAGTTTTATAAAAGCTTCTTGCCATTTTAGCACATTTTTCCACAATTTCATTAGCCTTACAATGAGTTGATATAACACCAATCCATCCATCATTCTCACTTTGATCATAAGTATAGCTAGAATCGTGCCAATTTTCAGTTAAAGCAATTTGTTGTTCGGCCAAAACTCTTCTTGAAATACGTGATCTCAACATTGTATTCATAAATCGATCTATTTGTTCTCCAGATAAATGTTCCGAACATTCCATTATACCCATTGCTAATTGAGGAATTACCACTAAATGATCTTTTAATAAGCCTTTTATAGTTTTACACCATTCATTATTTTCTTCAATAGATCTTATAGGAGGAAATTTTCTTAATTTTTCAAATGCAAACCAATATAAATCATAAACCTTAGCAAGATGAGGATTTGTTCCCACAATAAAAGGTAAATTTTGAAAATCTCTTATTCTATGAGCTATTCGTACTGGAAGTTCACTTCTCACATAATTTCCACTTTTAATAATTCTTTCTTCGGTCAAATTACGACCAAATACTATAAGTTGTCTAAGAGTAATTGGGTTGATAGATTGAGATGCATATTGATCAAGAGTTCGATTTTGATAAAAATGTTGTGGAGAATAAGCTCTGTATTGTCCAGTAGATTTTATGGATATTTGAGGGGGAGATTGTGTAGTAGTAGAAGAATTGACAGTATTAGGTGGAGGTGGTGCTACATGATTTGGCGAAATGGTACGAAAGTTAGGATTCAAAGAAGTATATTGTATTGGTTCAGCTTTGGGTGATGTGGTAGTTGAAAATGACAATTCACCATTTAAACCACCTCTAGAGTTCTGAAGGAATATTGTAAAAGATCGAGAAACATGCTCCATCAATATTATCAACTTCTCAATCCCCATCAAAACAAATGCTCGAATCTTCCCAACTGTT